GCCACTTTGTCGGGGTCTCGGGGTACCAGCCGCGCTCCAACAACGTGATGATGGTTGCCGACATGGGCCCTCTGGCCCATCGAGATCGGCGGTTGGATGGCATAGCCAGCAGCGTAGATAACACAAGAGGCCACGCTCTGTACACACACGGTCGGATATCAGGAACTTGAAACCATTGCTGTCGCCGCCACGATAACACCTCTGCTGGAAGGGCAACCCCTGGATCACGAGAGCCCTCACGAATGCCTAAGAGGGACGTGATACAGGTTCCCTTGCTCCCCGCACTGCATGCGGCCGCCAACTTCCTACGACAATGCTGGGGTTTGCGCCCAAACGTTCCATGTATAGCCTGGCCGTAGTCGCCAGCCGCCTGCGACCCAAGACGCTCCAGCCGAGACGTGACCTTATACCTCTTGGAGGCCCTGGCGAACCTGGCGACCCTAGAATGAAGCTTAGCGTGCTTCAACCCGCGCTTAGTTCTTGTGGCCCTCGCATGCCTACGACCTCCACCCTGGTCGACACCCAAGAAGCCCGCCTGTAACGCCGCCTGGATGGCATAACCCCTTCGACGCACTCTGCGTGCAATCTCACGTGCATCATGTACATGCGAACACACCACAACGGATTTCGCAGCATTGGGAAGATGCAACCCTTTCAACTCATCAGCCGTGTCGGCAACACAATTGGCCATCTGATCCACAATAGCTCGCCTGGAGCCCAGCAGCGTCTGAGACAAATCATCAACACGTATTCGAAGGGAAACGCTATCTTGCTTGCGATCGATCTTGGCCAGAACATAATGCGCCATGCATATGGCGGACCTGGTGCCTCCTCTCAATCCTTGGATAATACTACAAGTAGCAAGGAAAGGTTCGCTGACGGCTCCCATCTGCTCGAGGACTCTGGGGGCCATGCACTGGGTCAGCTCCAGAAACAACCACGCGGGGGGACATCCTAGGGCAAGCGCTTTCGTCACGAGCAGACCCCTCCCGATCTTGTCATGGAACCCATGGATATCAGTGAGTCCGTGCGCATGGGGAGTGTTCATAACGCCCGAGACCTCCTCCTGTAACGTACGATGAAGTGCCTCACGGAGAGAGGCGTTCCCCGCGACTGCTGCGTCACAATCTTGCTCAACTAAGCCGCACCATTCTCTCGCGTGCTCCTCTTATGGCAGACCACAGACGGCCCAATAGAGAGGTGATTCCAATGGCCCTATCTCCGTCCTGCTTCTTGGGAATCAACTTCCCACTTGCCAGCTGTGTCTGAAAGTGCCAGGAATGGGTCCGCTGAATGGAATCGAGAAGCTCAGCTAGCCCCTGCTGCGCTGCCCACGGCAATCGCTCAACGTCCACTGGGGACATTCTGTCAGCCCCCAGCGCCGTGGATGCCTTGATACGGTGGGCAGCCGAGCGTACACCCTCTGCTGTGATGGGCGGCATGGTGTCCTGCTGGGCTGCCTCCCTGGCCGCCTCGAATGCGGACACTATTTGCCTGGTCCGAAGGCTATGGGGAGCCCAGACCTGCTGCCACTTCTTGCTCTTGCAGTCCAGGATATCCTTGGGGTGGATCACCGCTGTGCTGTCCTGCAGCAACTCCACGAGCGGTAGCTGATCTCCCTTCATGCTGCGGTGCAGCGTCCTAACTGAGGTCTGCTGGGTGAACTCGGTGAGGGGTTCACTGATGGCCCTGCGCTGCCCTCTCCGCGCCAGCCGCTGGGCCTGCTCAACGAACGGCTCCAGGACGGGCAACGCCAGCCCACCTATGTTCTGCAAGGCCTGCGCCCACTTCTGGCTGTCCGCGTCCTTCACGGGGCGGAGGGGCCGATGGGCACCCACTGGTCGACTGTGAACCAGGTGCACGCACGCCGTCTGGATCATCTCCAGCTCGCGCACCCCATTGCCCCTCTGCCGATGCCGAAGAGCCTGCTGTAGAAGTGTGGCCACGCGCTTCCACCAGCAGGCAACGCGGTCACGAAGAGGGGCGGCTCGGCGACGTCCCGCTTGCCGTACCTCCTCATCTACGAAGCTGCAGCCGTCGCCCCGACTGGGGGCTGCAGGGATGGCCACGCCGTGATGCTGACAGATAACTCCCTCCACAGCGCGTACCCACACAGAGTACCATGAAGATATGAAAAGCACTGGCTGAGGTTTGGGCCAACATGCTACGGGGGCGAGGAAGAGCGGAGGCATCTGGCTGTACGAGCAACTGGTGAATGACACCGCGTGGCGGTTGCTCTCCCAGCACTCCGCGGAAACACGAAACTCGCAGGCGGGTTCAACCTCCGACGCGTTGGCTCCCTGTGGCACATTGGCCTGGTCGAGGAGTGCACAATCGCGATTACGGGGTTCCTCAGAAAGACACTGACACTGAACAAGTGACTGCACGTCAGAAACACTGCTACTCTGCTCCTGTCCAACGCTATGACTCACGGAACAACTGTTTCCCGGCGCAACATTGACAACGTGCGGACCGCCAAAGGCCGCCTCATCGGCCCAGAGGTCCTCCTCCCCTCAGACTCGAATTGGCCACCGAGGCCCTAGTCGTCCTCAGACGGGGGAGCGGTGGTCTCTCTCTCATCTGATGCCTTGGCTTCTGGAAGCATGATGTCACCGAACATGGCTCCAAAGACCTGCCGCCGCTTCTCTCGGGCTGTAGCCATCTGCATGGCTCTCTCAGCCTTGGTCCCAGAGGTCGTCGGCCCCTTCTGCGGCATCACCCTAGGTCTGGGGGTCTGGGGGAGGCGGCCTGGTGCCTC